TATATATATATATGTGTATATATGTATATGTATAACATAATATGTTATCATATTTACAAAATTCTACTTTGAAATATAAATATATTATTTGTATTAAAAGATGCGAAGAAGCATCAGAGAGGTACTCAATGTCAATATAAAGTCTGGTACTCAATGCCAATATACCTAAAACTGTTGTGTACATAAGTACTCTTGATAAATTCAAAAATAATAATATATATGCTATCCCTTGGTTCGCTTAAACATCCTTAGAACGCAGCGCTCCATAACTTTCGAACGACATGCTACGTGCGGTGCAATTTGCAGGCACGATGGCGTACCGAGCTGTATAAGTAATCGTTTCGGCTGGTCTATTCTCAACAGACTGTTGTTTGGATCCTCTCGACCCCGACGCTGCTTGCGATCATGTGCGGGAGGAGGTAGTTTCTCGCTCTACATCGCCGCGCCGGTTCGCGCACATTGCGTGCGTAGTGCCAACTTTCTCGTTTCAGTTAACTTTCATCTACCACTCCTCCGGCTTCACCAGAGTGAGCTTGCCGAATGTGCGTGCGTGTGTTACGTCGTATATGTGTTTTGATGCAACTAGCGGGAAAACGCGCGCCGCGAAATACCAGCAGAGCAGCAACAGAGGAGGAGGAGGAGAAAATCGTTGTTGTTCGGTCCTTCGATCCAGCATATGGATGCGGGCATACGATCGCGCGCGGCCATGGTATTACGCTTCGTCAGCTGCCGGGTATACCGGCTTCGGTAATACACCGGAGGAATGTACACCCTCCACCACATCCATCCCCGCTGATGCTCTAACCGCGCCGCACAACCCTTTGCGATCTCCTATCCTCTTCCCTGGCCAACCCGCCTCTCGTCCCCTCTTGGACCGTTCCAACTCTACGCGTGGCCAAATCTGGTACCAGACGAGGCACTCGTGGTATTTCCGCAAATTCGATGCTCACCCAATGTCTCGGGGGCGAGGTATGCGAAGGAGGAATCGCACTGCGGGGCGATCTGCGGTGAAACGTCGGGAAACGGCTGGAAGCACAATTTCCTTGTAAAACCGATTGTCTGATTGTGAATAAGAGAAATACGACCGGCCGATACATTCTTAATCAACCTCGAGTAGGATTCATGATTTTTTTATCCGTCACTTTATGTGTCAACGGTAAAATTCGAATGTGGAATTAATGATCTTATTCAGCTAGTATTTATTTTTGACGAAAATAAAATGAAATAAAAATAATATAAAAAATATAAGATAAAGATTTAAAATGTTTAATGGATTCTGATAATATTTGGACACATATATGATAACTTTATATAATTCATCACGTATATCTTGATCATAAAATTATAAGATTGTATAAAACATATTTAAATTAAATTTGTTACTGATATTATATCTCATATAGATAGAGCGATAGAACTAATGTAATAGAATTTATGTAACAGAGAGACGGAACTTTTGTATTCAATTAAATGTATTATAGCTTTTTAGTGTTAGCTATAAAGTTAAAATAATTTTAAATGCGAAATTTATCTCACAAAAGCGGGCTCATATCATATTAAATTAATTAGTGAAATTATGCTCTTTCTACTATGTCATATGTCCTTTATTATCCAACTTCGTCGTCTACCATCAAATATGCGCGAGGCGTTCACTGCATTAAAGAGTGGAGAGTTAACGAAATTCTCATCCCGTCGCGACATTAGTTCTGAAGTTTCACATTTGTTTCACTTTATTTTTCATCGTGATCCGCGTTACTCTCGGCGCGGAATAACAAAAAACATAAAGCAACATACACATATGAAAACAGTCATGTCCAAGCACGAGTTATTCGTGAAGCGATTTTCGCTTATATATATGAGATCGCAAATACAATGCGCTTTCTCCAGATTAGAAGATTCTCTTAAGACAAAATTTTGTCTTAATCCTATAATAAAAAAACACGAAAGAAATGAAGTCTGAAATAAAAATAATCCATTTAAATGAAATGTTCTTAATAATATAGAATATAGATTTAATCCTCCATTGGCAATATGAAATTTTCATCCTTCGTCCGCAATTAAACTTGTCGATATCGAATACTATAAATATGTTCATCAATTCAAAAACTATTTATATTCATCCTGAATAAATAATCATTATAGCAAATACATCAAATAATAAATAAACTTTTTATTCTGATTAATCAAATTTGATGTAATGCTTAATTTATCGCTGCGCTCGCTCTTAACACAAGACACTATCGTGTTTCCCGATTAATTCAGGATGAATATAAATAATTTTTGAATTGATGAATATATTCATAGATATTTCTGTTTGAAATCGACAAATTGGTTCGCAATCTAGATCTTCAAAGTTCAGCACTATTTTTATTGTTCCGACCATATAGAAATTTGAAAAATTCTTACATGCTTCAGAAAGCTTTAACAATGAGTTTTTATTGTGTAGAAGTTGAATTGTATTGTATTTACCTATTTTTTTACATTCTTTGTCATAACTTTTACATTTTCTGTAACAAGAGAGAAATATGAAATAAGCAAAAGAAATATTTGTTTCAGTTATGATCTACGTGGCAAGCACTCGGAAAAACCGTTGCATTGGCAAGATAAAGACTATCTCGGCGATCGGGCATTATTCAGGACGACAACGGAGCCCGCAACTTTGAGCGTTAACCACATACAGGAACAAGACGAAGGTGAATTCAGATGCCGAGTGGATTTTACCACAAATCCAACTAGAAACTCCAGAATTCAATTGACCGTGATAGGTTCGTATCTTATTTAATGGCATGTAAACATATCAAATTGTGTATCCACAAAATTAAAAGATATACACATAAAATAATTATTATTCATTTTTTATTTCCGAATTTTGATCAATATGAAAGAAGACTTAAGAATGCAATGTAAAAACAAGCGTAAAAGAATATAATAAGTTTACAAAATTTACAATTAATCGTATAAATTAAATTTATTGATTAATTTGATTTTTTCATAATTCATATTATATTCTCGAAATCGTCATTTATTTTGATTATCGAAACTTTTATCGCGCTCCAATGTTCACTTTTACGCCAGCATGTCATTGATTCAACCGTCGTGCGCAGAGCACCGATATCAATATTTTAGATAGCTCGACATGAATTGATTAACGTGAATGATCGCACGAATAAATTGCATTTCATGTATTAATATAATTTTGTTTAATATTTTAAAATAGATTTGTGTAGTTAAATAATGAATAACTTTATATCCGAGTTCATATCGCGATTATTAAAACGATGCTCTCGTTATTATCCAACAAAGTTGTAATTTATCGATCGTTGCAATAGAACTTTTGATACAATTCTATTATGCCACCACTCGTGAAAATTTATACGCAGCAGAAAACAATGTGCAAGCAAATTCCGCCAGTCACATAGTTAGAATAGTTGAGCACGCAATCCTCGTTGTCTCGTTGGCTGCCTCGCCTTTTTCGTACTATATCATTTCTATTTCTTAACTTTCCATACATTAAGTTAAATCAACTATTATTATGCCAGACTTTTGAGAATTCAGTTTCAATGCACCTCCTTCATGCAATTAACAAGTGTTATATAATAAATACATGTATCTACATATTTTATATATAAATATATGTACTTATATATTTTATTCGATAATCTTTCGATACCGCGCTTATACATTTATACACCGTTCTCTATACATTTTTTATCCGACACTTGTAAAAGAATAATTTTTGAGTTTTATTTCAATTTTTATTGAATTCTTTAATTATTTTCGAAGACAAAATCGAATTATTTTCTTGTAAAACAATTGACGATTTATCACGTGAGTCATACTTAATACCACTGCTCGTATTCAATATATCGTTAATTTAACTAAACAATGGAATTAAACAATGTGACTCAAGAAAATGTATTAAATTTGACTCCAAAATTTAATGTATTATTAACTAAATATGTGCATACATTAATATAAATATTATTCACTTTGAAATCAATCACAGAAATGGATTGATTCATATTTTGGAAATTAAAAATACACAAAATAATTAACTCAAGGGATTGGATTATCATTGTTCTTTTGATATTTAAGAAATTACGTGAAATATTGACGAAGATATTTTTTTCTTCCGTAAAACAATATCACGGCATCTTCTTAATATTATAACTTACATTTCTTTTGCCCCTTTTCTCCGTTGTCGCAACATTTATTCATTTATCTGTTACAAAGAACGTTTGATCTCCGTTTAAAGCGTCCATTGTACAGTTCGAGAAATTTAATCTTGAAAAGAAAAGACACGAAATTTTTACAAAAACGACCTTCACCTCAAAATTGGACATTTCTTTCGGCAAAGGACACTTCTCCGTGCAAAGCGCACTTTCCTAGGAAAAAGACTTTGTTACATGATTCATCAATTTACTGGTTGTTCGTTTCACGTAGTGACCCTTCGGAAAAACTACTAGTGCGGTGAGTCCCTGGAGGAATCTTACTACATTAACAGATAAAACCTTTTTCGTACGAAATTGTCGAGCCGATATCAGGTCACAATAAATTAAATT